CACAAACAAGATGTGAATAACCATGCAAATGTGCTTGGTAACCTCATTGTCTTTATCATTAACTATTGATGTGCTGGTAAACCACACACGCTCCATCAAAATGACAATTATGAGATACCCATTACTACTCTTTATTAGTGCCTTTTAGTGTGCTGGTTAACCACACACGCTCCACTAACGACCAATAAAGCATAATGTGCAATTTCATGGATTAGCATACTTTCCACATTTTTTCTAAAGTAACTAGAGTTGGGATTTTGAAAATTATGTTCTATTACTTTCTTTAATATCATTATACTTTTAATGAGAAGTAGTTGTCCTATCAAATCCGTTCTGCTAACGACCCTCCACTAATCAAGGAAGCGGTGGGTGAGAGTGGACACCCATTCAACTACCATTTTATAGGCAGTTTCCTTATACCCCCCTTATAGATTAGCTTCGTGAATGAGGCATACTAGCGATTTGACTGACCATATTCTTATACATATATAATATTAAACTTTTAATTATAATATATATAAGGTGTGTTTTAAAACATTTTAAAACTTCAAGGGTTTATAAATTTCGAAATTTAAGCTATTAAATTTAAATTTAAATAAACCAATTAACTAGATTTAATATTTATCTTTTAATTAACTATTAATCAAATTATTAAATCTTGTAAGGATTATCTAATTAAATTAAACAATTAATTTAATCCTAATCTTTATCCCTCTAGATTTCGAAAATTAGGGTAAAGGATAATTTCCTTATTTTTCTCAATTATCCAATTAGGCAATAATTATCCAATCAAGTAATAATTATCCAAAATAAGATAAAACCCTAAAATAACAAGTAAATTTCGAAATTCAAGGGAGGAGGCTAGAGTTTTCCAAAACCCTAACCCTAATTTTGATTAGGGTTCATGGAGGCTAGGGTTTTTCGAAAAACCCTTTGAACCAAAAACCCTAAAAACGAAAATTTTGGCCTTTAGGGTTTAATGGCTATAAACCCTAATTTGCAATTCAACTATTATAGCAATTCAATTTAAAACAAACAATGGCTCTGATACCACTGATGGGTTTTAGGTACAACAAATAAACTAGAAAACAATTCCTAAGTTCACATGCAACCTACTTTGGATCTATGTTTTAACTATTGAACATACAACTTTGAATTGCAAAACAAGAACCCTAGAGGAGAGAGGCTAATTTCGAAATTAACAAACTAGGGTTTAAGAGTTACATACCTTTCAATTGTTATAGCAAACAATTGATAATCCTCTTGATCTTGATCTTGATCTTCTTGGAAGCTTAGCACCACAAATGTAATGCCTCTAATGGAATCACACCCAAGAACTAGCAAGAAGGAAACTTGGAGGAGAGAGGATGGAGAGAGTATGCAATTTCGGCCTTAGGGTTTCTTCCAAAGAAATCAGTACCCAAAATGTGAGCCAGCAGGCTCCTTAAATAGTTGAGGGAACTAGGGTTTAGGGAAAACCCTAGTTATCCTTTGCTTAGGGCCTAAGCAAGACCCAAGGCCTTATCTTGGACCCCTTGGACGAATTCTCTAGGGTTTCCCCTAGGGTTTTCGTCCACCCGCTTCCAAGGGAGTTCTGGATCCTTCCATTCAACTATCAGTTAATTGCAAACTAGTCCCTGCACTTTATAATTAATTCTTTTAACCCCAAAATCAATTCTGATTAATTTCTGGCTAACAATTAATTAAACATAATGATTTCTAATTAATATATTAATCCATTAACATATTAATAAATCAATTATATATATATTAATTTATTAATCTTATAAATTAATATCTCTCCTTTCATAATTTCCTTGTCCAGTTGCTAGGTTGAGGGCAACCCAAAAGGACTGTGCTGCTATCAATTCAAGTACATACCAATTATAGTTATGGGCTTAGACACCTAATCCAACACTATTACCGATACACTTTATTAGGCAGTCTACGAAGTTCCCTTAATTACTTCGTGAAAGGAAACACTAACACATGAAGCTCGTCCGATCACTTCATAAAAGAAACGCTGACTCCAAAGATCTTTCAACATAAACTGTATGGGGAAATACTAATAGAGTACTCCCGTACGCTCCCGTAACCGACACACAATAGTGTCAAAAAGACTTTGTACAAGATAGTACTTCTGGCATATTATAGTACCCTGGTATGCGAAGGATCCGTACCCGAGAACATAATAGTACCCCGGCACAAGCAGCACCTAAAACACAAAGCTTTGAAAAAGGACTTCGTACATAAAATGTACTTCTGTACGTAGGACGTACTCCACCTATCATCGATCTCACCACACACGTACTCTTAATAAGAGGCTTCCCAATGTCCAAACTTAATTTAACTAACCATCCCTTTTTAAGTCTTAACCCATCACCAGGCAAACCTACAATGCTTATAATCAATTTTCGATACTAACTCCGATTAGGCAATGCTAACTAGTGTATACTTAACACAGAGTTTTAATTAATAATATCATATATTCACATCTTAACACATATTGAACCATAACTGATTCGCACGTTGCATATCATCAAATATATCTAACACGTATTTCGGGCAATAACAAATACTTCACATACATATATATTTAATACTTTAACCAATACTTGTATTAAAATCATGTCCATGAAAGGGACTATGAACATGATACCTTATCGGATGAACACATAGTTCAAAAATACACAATCCGTACTCTCGGATCTAAAACTAACCTCCTGATCTGATCCATACTCCCGGATCTAAAACTAACCTCCTGATCTGATCCATACTCCCGGATCTAAAACAAGTTTATCTCTTTATCCTTTTATCTCATGGTCCAACCCATCTTTTATCACCTACCAACAACCTCATCTACCCATGTTCTACCCAACATATTTGTAGATACAAAATACATACACAGTTTAACTCATTAAAACTTATATAATTTATCCATTCCATAACCATCTCAAATAAGCAACAATATATTATACACATAGCACGTATTTCATAGCAAATACTTAATATTTATGTGTTAGAAGAAAGTGACTACACACTCACTTGATCAGAACATGATCGGGCAGCACTACGGCTTGTAGAAGTAGTATTCTTCGGTGAAACTGTGATCTCTTCACACACCGGGCCTCTCGCGGGCAGAGCTTCAGCTCGGAAACTCTTTTCTTCTCGGGATCTTCGGAACTTCGGGACTTGCTTCGGGTCTCGGGATGATACCAGGGCTTCGGGGGGTTAAAATAAGGCTTAGAGAGGGTATCGGGAGTGAGAGAGTGATAAAGTAGCAACCTAAATCGGCCGCCCTTCGATTTCTATTTATAGGGCTGATTTTATGGATTCACGTCGTGAATATCAAATATTCACGTCGTGAGTTCAGTCGTCATCAGGTGCGTCATCGCAACTTGCGTCTGTCAGGCTCCAGAAGGCGTCAGAAGTCAGTTCACGTCGTGAACACTGTTTTCACGTCGTGAACTCTGACACAACTTTGGGGTTCGTGCCCCGAAATTCAGAATTTCATAACTTTCGCATACGAACTCCGTTTTCAACGTTCTTTATATCGACGCGTAGGTAAAAACAAGATCTACAACTTTCATTTAGACTTTGTCGGCTAATTTTGACTTTACTTTTAATATATTAATAATATATTATTTTTAGTAGGCCGGAACAGGAAAACTCCGTTAGAAATTCATAACTCCTTCATCTGACGTCTGTTTTCGACTGTCTTTTCACCGTTACACTACTATCAACGAGATCTTCGATTCTCGTTTAGATTGTTTCGGCTAGAACTCACTCGATCTTAAAATCGAACTTCAGGCTGCATACTGCTAAGCTGAAACTTAGAAAAATCATAACTTCCTCATACGAAGTCAGATTTGGACGTTCTTTTTATGCACGCTCTCGGTTTAATGTATTCTACGACTTTCGTTTAGATCGCTAAGGCTAAATATCGCTCTATCGTAAATTCATTATTTACGTCGCGCTGTGTCGTGCCGGTTCTGTCGCGAAACTTCGACATGTCATAACTTCTTCGTTATAACTCCGATTTCAACGTTCTTTATATGTACGGAATCCTTGTAACATATACTACAACTTAGTTAAGACTAATCCTCCTAAATAATCTTCTATCAAAAAGCCATTTTTGTTGTTCCTTGTCTCTAAATTGACTAGTCCGGATCTACGGGCGTTACACCTATGTACTCACCAGGTTTCCCAACGAAACTCATTCAGTTTATTTGTATCACAGGTGTCGATACGAAGCTATATTACATTGAGAGATTAAAGGAGATGTAAATCACTAGTGTAAATGAATGTAAGGTCTGTTTATGCTTATGTTTCTGTATTGACAATAACATCCCAAAGTTTTAATATAAACAAAATACATTTCTTAGGAAATACTTTGACAATATATTTATCATGTTTTCTGGAAACAAATTTTGCAATATTATTCTTTAAAAATGAATACTTTTATTTTCAAATAAGCATAAATAATTTTTTTAAAATGACTGTGAATTTGGGATGTCACATGGGTGATGGAGGCGGGTGGTTGTGATGGATGGTGGTGGTGATGGGTGGTGGTTGTGGTGGGTGATCCGAGAGAGAGAGAGAGAGAGAGAGAGAGAGAGAGAGAGAGAGAGAGAGAGATTGTCGATATCATTAATGGTCAACGAAAACACCTCACACTCGTTATAGAAATGCCATTTTGCAATTTTATATAAGAAAACAAAGACATTTTTCCATGAACAAAAAAAGTAAAACAGGTTTTATTTTAGGCAATAAACCCTAAAATTATGATCAGTTTGATTAATGTGAAAAGTATGACGCAATTATTTACAAGTATCAACACACACCATACAGAGGCAAAATAACTCATGGTAATTATTGTTATCAAAATCACCCCACCTCAGACAAGACAAGGAGAATAAAAAAGTAAGAAATAACTTAATATACTTATAATGACGGAATTATAGAGCTAAATTGCAATGTAGTTGAACATTCTTACAAAATTATCTCTCAGGGTTCAAGAGCATAATTTTTACTTTCGATGAGGCTCGAGGGAACAACATAACATCCTTCGCAATGTCAAGTATTTTTAAAGCATCAAGAACTCCTCTTGGTGTGATGGTAATCTCCTCGACAAAAGGGGAATAAGCAAGAAGAAGCTTCAGAAAAAGCAGTTCCGCTCTTGATCCTTCTAAATATTTCATATCCACAGTTTCCAAACGGTTCAATGTACCATCCAAACAGTTTGGGGATTCCAAATGATCTGAAGCTGGTCCCACATCAACTCGAGCCTCCTGAAACAATTTAAAAATGCAACCACAGTTTAGCATCCAACTTTTGCACCATATAAGCAAAATAAATATAGTCTTGGTACTCTGGACTTTACCACCTGCACACGCAGCATATGCATATGCAGGCTTTCCAGATTGGGTGAGTTTCGAATCAAACAAAGAGCACCATGGAGTTGATCCAAATCACCAAGTTCAAAATCTAGCAACCACAGATGCCTTAAACTACCAAGCTCACATGGAAGCAATTTTGGAATCTCTTCTGTAGATAAAAACTGTGAAATTAAAGTTAATTTTTAACTTACCCGATAAACATGAGAATTACATATTGAGGAAGAGCATAAAAAGTTTACCTTAAGAAAATGACTGTCGATACAAAACTTTCTAACTTTAGGCAAGCTACTCAACACCGTGGCCAAATTCATTTTTTCAACTCGTACAAAATTTTGCATGGGCTTCTGCAAAGAAATCACAACGTCAAAAAGGCATGGACTGTCCAATAACCGGAGCAACATGGCATCATGACATGCAATGACAGTCAAATTCCGCAGTTTTATAGCTTTGATGTTGAAATTGTAAACTTTTGTGCACGTTTCCAGGCACAACTTCTTAAGCTGTGGTAGGTTGATCTTAGCTCCACACAACCTAGCACCAAAATCAATATTCTCGAAAAGAAGTTCTTCAAGATTGAGAAATCCTTCAAAATCAAGTGGTGGCTTAAAGAAACAGTTTTCCAGATCCAACTTTCTCAATTCTAGACAAGAATACACATGAGAAGGAAGTTTATAACGTTTATTTGAATTAGTAAGGACGAGGTCCGTGACACTGTTTCTTGATAGGAGTAGCATGAATTGATCGACTTCTTGGAAGCTATCAAGAACTATATTTGGTATATGAAGATAAAATTTCAAGATAGGACCTTTGTGAAAGGTCAAGACTTGGATAATGATCCTTATAAACCCATTACGACCAAAAGCTCCGTTTTTTGCAAACTTTTTAGAAAACTGGTCATCAAAAACCAGCACCCTCATTTTGGTCCATCTGTACCTCCACTTTTTTGATATTATGTTTGTCTTTACAGCATCTTCAATAGGAAGCCGTTCTAAGATCAAGTCTGTCAAGTGTTCTGGCAAGTTACTGATTTTATCTTCCTCACCATAACTGACATCCGTCTTTTTCTTTCTCTCTGTTATTAGATTCACTACAAAAAATTAAAAATGGGATCAAGTAAAGCAAGAATGTTATTCCATAGTTGTATGAGTGTGTCCAACCTAGAGCAATATCAGCTATACATAAGCAAAGCTAGAGGCCATACATAAAGCATCATAAGAAAACTTATCTTATGTCTTATGAAATGCATGAAGAATGATAAAATAACAATTTCAGTCCAATAACGAGGTTCAGGTATGAATGATGGAGGGATTTTCGGTTAATGGGTTTAATGAAAACAGTTAAAGTATATATGGGAATTTAATCGATCATTTACTGGGATACAATTTCTTTCGGGTTCGATTTTGGTCAATCCTACGGCTTCTTCATGCATCAATGGCTTACCCTGCCAAAACGTAACGTAAAACAACCACATAATATACACTCTACTAGCAAAAACTATATACTTGATGTCTTGCAAAGTTAACAACTATTCAATTATTTATGGAACGCATGTAATTAGTAAAATCTTACCACATTCAGTTTCCTGATTTCTGTTTTCCAGTGGATATGTGAGGATTGACAACGACTACGTACCCAAAACAGGGTTTAGGTTTCCTACCGGAATGAGCAAAAGAAAACCTAAACAGCATAACTCAAACAAAATCCCTTTGCAGCACGACATTCAAAGAATAAAAAACATGAAGGTTTATGAAGTTGAAACTTACCCATCGAGGTAAAATGTCGTAGAATTGGGAACTTAGGGTTTACTGTTAACCAACGCCTAAATTAGATTCACAGTAAAGAGCTAATCCCTGTTAAACCCATTATTTATAGTTTTACATGTTATTAATTTGAGTAAATTACATGAATGTGGTTTGGGGTAATATGCACAAATGATCCCTAACTTTTTTTTTTAACTCGGACGATCTCTATGATTTGATTTTGTTGTGTTTTTGTCCCTGCTACTCTTGAAATTACTATATTGCCCTTACTAATTTTTTTTAAAAAAAACATTTTATTAGTTATCAGTTATTGATCAATATATTTAAAATATAAAAGAAATCCTCAAACCCCACCACCACCGCTCTAGACCCTCTGGCCATTTTTCTAATTTATATATTTTCTTCTTCTATTTCTTTTGCAACTCAATCATTGGGAACTATTACTCCTGTCCCTAGTAACATCTGGCATGCCGTCGACACCGATATCCATTAATCTGCATCCGCAGGTAACCATAGGTCGTTGCTACCGTCTACATCAAACCTATTAAAATAATAACATTTATTTATTACAAGATTAACATTGAAATATTTTTTTTCATAATCAAGGTGAGAATGGTAATTTATTAAAGTATATTTGTGAGTGATTTTTATTGCAGTGTTTGTTTTGTCATTATTTACTTCTTCAGGGACTCCGACTCGCTTTTTGGATTCTTACATGGAAGTGCAGATCTTTTACCAGGTTTGGTTAAGGGTTTGATTCGGGTTAGATCGGACTTGAACCAGAGAATTAACCTGATGTATATAATGTTTGTTGAAGGTGTATTCTGGACACAACTTATTTTTTCATCAGAAGATTACTCTCATTTTTCTCTCGTCTCTTCCACCTTGCTTTAGGGTTTCTACTATTGTCTTTCTGTCCAGTTTTTCCTAGTGTTGTAATGGTGTTTTGATCTTGTATCTTTGTTTTTATATGAGTGTGACTGTTTTTATAGGCGATGTAACACCCGGTTTCGAGAAGCTTCCTATTTCAGGAATTATGGGCATTAAATGGTTCAAGTTAGGGCCCTGGAGTTCAAAGGGGTTTGGGTTTTAGACTCATTTTGGTGTGGATCACATAGTTTATGTGATCCAAGCTTTTGGTTTGTGCTTTGTAGTCCAAGGGTATAATGGTAAAAGTGATGCTTCAGACCTTTTCTCGAATTAAGGATTCTAGTTCGGAAGGTTTTAAGTCAAAGGAGATTAGATGGGATTGTAGGGTTTCTCAATACCTTTCCGAGCATATAAAGAATGTTGAAAATGGAGGCGGGACGAATAAGTTATGGTCATCGGAAGTTAGAATGGGAATGAGTTTTGGCCTGTACGTTGGGTGTACATGGCATGTATGTTGGGTGTACTTGGCTTAAGCTGGTCGCGGTGATTCTCTCTAGTACGTTTGGTGTGTGCGTGGCAGGGCCAAACCCTAAATTTTGGATCTTGGACCTTATTTAAAGACCTTAACCTCTTGGAAACCCTTCTTATCTTTAGCCTTCATCCTCTAAAGCACTTCCCTCGAAACCCTAGCCCTATTTGTGAGATTCTTGAGCCCTTTGAATGATTTGGAGTGTTCTTGGTGCATATTGGAGAAGAATGAGCTTATTGGAGAAGTGTTGGTTGGCTTGGAGCTTGTAGATCCAGGCCTTGTTCATCTTGATCTTTCTTTTGGAAGTAAAAAGCTTCAAACTTTATGGCTCTTTAGTGTAGATCTAGTTTTAGGTTATGTTATGATCATGTTTTGGTCCCATGGCTTGGATCTTGTGAGTAGAAGTTCCTCTTGAACCTTTAAGAAACATTTCTAGCCATTTATGAGGTCATTAAGTCATAAATATTGAATCTTGTTGGGTATATCTCCTCTACTCGTGAGTTAGTGGTCTTTTGGTGAAGTTATGAATCTAGGGCCTTGGTTTGGACTCCATTAAGCCATGCAAAGTCATAAGTTAGGAACTTTATTACTTAAGACGTCCCTTAGAATTAGATCTGGGAGTTGGACATTAGGTCTTAAGGTATTAAGAGATTAGAAAGTAGCTTTGGCTTCAGCTGGTGTATGTTGGGCATACCCTCCTAGTACGCTGCGCGTAGCAGGTTTCAACCCATTACCCTTTCTTCAATTAAGCAGTACGTTGTGCATCTTGGGGTCGTACGTGGGGCGTACTCACCAGAAGTCTATATGGCCGTTTTTGGGCCTTGGGTCATTTGGGTTTGGGCAATGGTTAGTTGGGTCAAGTATGGGAAGGATAAAATGGACTTTTACCCTTAGTACGATGGATTATGATTTCGACCTTTGGTTATGGATTATTACCCTGGTTATTGATTAGGATTGATCTTGGATATGTTCAGTGTGAGAAGCTGTGGTAGCAGCAGCTGAGTGTGTGATTTGTTGACATCGGATTGGGTCGAAGGCACCAATGCCAACCCACTGTAATGTGTTATGTAGGATGCTACCTGTCTTTGTGACTCTTGCATGGAATGTTGGCCTGGGCCCATAGGCATGCATGTAGGATTGGGCCCATTGTATGTTAGGCTAGGCCCATTTTATGACGGGATAGGCTCAATTGTATGATGGGATGGGCCCATTGATCAGGAAGGGATAGGCCCATTACTATGGGTGGGGCCCAATGTTCGGGCTAGGCCTAATGATATGTATGGTATGTGGTATTTTGGGGAAATTATTAAGCTTTATGCTTACAGTTTTATGGTTATGGTTTCAGGTACTTCCAGTTTAAAAGGGAAGGGCTCGACATGACAACATCCCCCAGAGTTTTATTTCGCAGTAGCTGTTTATGACTTTTACTCTGATGTTTAAATATTATTTTTCACCTTGTATGTTTTTGAGAACACATTTTTGTATGGGTTAATGTTTTAACAATGAAAAATTGTCCATGGATTTTTGGGCGTTACAAGTTGGTTTCAGAGCCTTAGTTTGAGGGATTCGGGCACACTCTCGGATGTGACTGAACTCAAAGTGAGGAATTGGTAATCTTTTGAAAGTGAAAAAATTTCTAAAAATATTTTTATAAAGAGAAAAGGGTGTGATGCTTGCAATCAGCCGATCTCAAGTAAGTGATTCCCTGAATACCCATACATGTTGATATGTTATATGATATGAATGCTCGCATGCTAGGATAAGGTTAAGGATACCTTCAAGAATTGCATGGTAGATTGGCCTAATATGTGATGCCTTGTATCCTAGGAGGATTGGCTGCTATGTTAGATTTGGAATCTATATTGGCAGGAGTGATTGCTAAGTATATGCTTTAAAAATTGTATATGATTAGGATCATATAGCCCTAGAATGACTGATTTAGCCTTATTTCCTACTCTTCGTCTGATTGTGGTCCTAGGTATAGTCATTTATTCGACAGTCTATTTAATCATGTTGTGTATAATTTGCATGCATAAGGCAACAGAAAGTGAGAGTAGAAGTTCCTAATATGGTAGTAGCAACTAGCAAGCAAGCTTAGGATGGCATATGATTGGTTGTGGCTTGGAGTGCTACTGCACAAATGTTTCTTGCTCTGTGCTTTGTGGGACTCTTGTTGATGTGAGTTAACCATTAAGTGAATACGTTAAGTTACATGCTACAAAGGTTGAATAATCTCAAAGTGATGGATTTGGCCCTATTGCGGAACTCTTGTATGAGTCTAACCTGTCACACCCCGCTAAAGCGGAAACGCAAGGTATGACAGCGATAACGGTTTCATTGCAAAAGATAATGATACATCACCATAGCAGTATTTAAAAGTCTACAACCCATAGCTTCAAAAGAAACAAAATACAAGTTTTTCCAAAATAACATTGTTCAAAGAAAACTCCACAATTAACTTCAACACGATGTAGCATGCTCTATGATGATGAATCTTTATATCCACTTACTAATTATTTCCTGAAAAAGCATGTAAAACGAGTGTCAACTATGAAAATAGTTGGTGAGTTCACAAGTTTATAAAATCGAGCTTGGAATAAGGCTTTTCGTAAATACAAGTACATTGCTTTGATGATAAACAAAGTTGATTGCTATTAATGAATACAAGATTATTGCTATAACGAGAAACGAGTTTGTATGTGTATGAGCAAACAATGAGTCTCAACCAAACCTATGACTGAAGCCCTATCGAGATCTATGCTTATCGTTCCATAGATGAATATGGTATCATGCACTCCAGCGATTCGGGCGAGTGAGGAGTTGTCAATTCCTAATAGCGCTATCCATAATGACCATTGGCTCAAAGAGTTAATGGTTAGAGATAAGGGAAGGGCCTTAGTACGATAAGTTCTCATGTTCCGTGTTGCATAGACATACATAAAGAGACATAGCAATACAATAGCAATCATGTTTGATATAAATCGATTTAAATACAGCATGCAAATAATAGTTTTTCGGGACATGCTTTTCCACCCCAAAACATAAAACTGAAAATAGGGGAGTGCGTGAATACTCACAATGTTTCGAGTAGGTACAAGTGGTACTTCGGAATGCACCAACGTCTTACTACCGGGATCCTACGACATCAAACACACACTAGTGAGTTTCCATGTCGAAATCTAATGCTAATATACTAAACTCTACATATAGTGAAATGCGAATTTATGTTTTAGTATTTGATTTTATATTAATTGGTTACACTTTTTCTGAAATAATGAAATTCTACAAATCGTGCGATTAATTACAACATTGGAATATAAATTTTCCAAATTTTTAAGTCCTTATTACAACATAAATTCACGAAAATAGCATTCAAAGGATAAAAATTCTCAAACTTTTTATTTAACTGTTATTACACAATACTAAGCTGGGAAAATTATAAAAATGGATTTCCAAGCTGTTTAATTATATTTTATGATTTTTGAGCATTTATTCCAATAAAAATTGAAATAAATAGAAAACAGTTTCCAAAATTACCCAAACTTTTTAATTAAATGTTATTGTACATAAATAGGCTGGGAAAAATATAAAAGATATTTTTCAGTGGGTATTTCTATTTTTCCTTGTTTTATTCCTTTAAATAATCATTAATTGAAGAAATAATATTAAACAGTTAAAATAATTTACCAAAAATTTTTGTAACATCATTTATAGTATAAATAACCTGAGAAAAATGCCAAAAGTGGTTTTTATATTGTATAATCTGGTTTTGGGTATTTATGTGAATTTAAGTGTAATTATCTTTAGAAATTAAGAGAAAAATAGTTTACAGTGGAGAAAAATCCTCAAAATTTTTATGTAACCTCCTACTGTACAACATGATGTTCTGGTAAATTTTCATGAATTTTGGATAATCATAACTTTTTCCTAGTTTTAAACCATTATAATTACCAAAAATTGGAAAAAATAGCAAGGCATGATG